ACAGCTGGCCTTGACCCCTTACAGTCGCTGATCAAAACTCAGCGAGCGGTCAATGACAACTTCCAGCAGTTTCACAGTTTTCTTCAGTGGGATGGCTTGATCGGTCGGTACTGGCAAACATACTAGCGATCTTTCCAGCAGACAGCTGAAAGCCTTTCGAAGCGGCCCATCTGACCACGGCAGAAACCCCTGCTTGGGCCCTGATCCTCGTTCGTCCCGGAGTCTGACCTGTGGCTACGATTGGCACGTCGCCTGCGTACACGAAGATGTAGATGTTCGCTGGTAACCGCTCGAAGACACTGTCCATGGCTACCAGCTATCACTGAACCTGGAGGAACGCTAGTGTCCTCGCAGAAAGTGCGGGATTTGGTATTACCTACCGAGACTAGGAAGGATCTGCAAGTCAGGAAATTTCGGATGAAATGGATGATATGGCCGCTAAAACGCTGTCCAGACTGGAGAGTTATAACATGTTAGAACGGTTGTCAAATAATTGCAACACAGAAACCACCATCAAGATAGCGCTATAACATGTTATAACTCTGTAATCTGAACGTACTATAAGGCTCCTGCTGACGAGTTTCTTCAGTACCGTCCATGTACGGTTGAAAGCTTTCGCAATGTCCAGGGAAACCAACTCCGTATGGAGACCGTTATCCTTGACGTCCTTTTGGAGCTATTTTAGCGTCGCAAAATACGTGGATGTACAGTGGCCTTGTCGGAATGCGTGTTGTCGATGGTCTAGAAAGCATCGAGAAACTGCTTCAGGCGTCGGTTGACCATCCACTCGAACACCTTTACCATGTAGCAGGTGAGCGCAATTGGCCTTAACTTCACCACGTCCCGTGTCGGCTCGTTTGCTTTGGGGATGCGAACAACTAAGCTCTCCCTCCAATGCTCTGGATACGAGTCTGTCCGCCTTAGAGATGAACTAGCCTAAGGCTAAAAATCTCTTAAATAAAGAATTAAAAAAAAAAAAGTCTGTCCGCCAAAGCTGGTTGAAGAGTTTCAGCAATTTTACTTTACCCGGAGTAGGCAGGTTCTTGAGCAGCGGGTAGCCAATCTCGTCTAAACCGGCCGATTTCCCGTTGCTGCTACTAAAGGGGTGATGCACATATTATGTCACGCTCTATGATTTTGTGACAAGCAATGCATTACACGGTAACCGCAAAATACCCAATAATGACTACAAAGTAAGCATTTTCGAGGGAAACTGGGACTACCCATTAAATGAGTAAAATTTTACCCATTTATGAGTAATTACAACTACAAAAATAAGTAGTAAGTATTCATTTTTGAGTAACAAATACTCATAAATGGGTAATATGTTTACTCATTTAATGGGTAGTCCCAGTCTCCCTCGAAAATGCTTACTTTGTAGTCATTATTGGGTATTTTGCGGTTACCGTGTAGGTACAGGAAAAATGTCACGCAAGGAGGGAGGGGGATTGATTTTTCCTCAATTTAGCGTGTTATAATAAATGGATCGCCCCTAATCGCGAACTGAAGTTCCTGCCAGGTGAAATCCTGGTTGATTGATCCTCAGGTTGTTCGTGTCCGGAGAAACGCAAAAACTGCTTAAGAACGAAATCGATGGGTTTGCTTGCCGTTGGAAGGCCTCCTCGTACTTGGAAATCGCCGAGAGGTCAGCGAAGTAATCGCTAAGCTTATCTGCAACGATTGCGGGGTCGGACATTGCAGCGCCGTCTACTTGGATATGCAGTAGGGTCGTGCGGCGCTTGCCACTGAAAGCGTTGACCTTACCCCAGAGCTCCGCCGAAGACTGTAAGGCGTTTATGCTTTCGAGGAAGTCTGGATCGTTTGACATCTCGGAACTATTGGCACCACTGGTGTGCTGTTCTCGATAGGTACAGAGCGCGATTTCCCTATCCGTATAATCGAGGGGAATCCGTTTGACTCGTCGAAGGGCTTTTCGCCGGGCCTTGACTGCCTTCTTCGTTTCCTCGTTGCGCCATCTGAGGGCTTACGCCCCGGAATGGTGTTGGTTTTCGGGATAGTTGCTGACGCAGTTGCGTTTATTGCTTCAATGAAATTCTCGTTACTGTCTAGGTTACGTTGTTGAAGGAGGGACTGAAAGGTTTCACCGTATCTCTCCCAATCGGCTTCGTCATAGCGCCAGGTGCTGTCGGTATATCGGCGGCAAAGAACCGCCGTAATGATCGCTACCGTAGAGGTCCGGATTGACGCTCCACTGCATTCTTCCAGCGAGGGAACGACTAACAGCCGTTACATCGATCGCCGTGGTGTGCCGTCCATTGAATCAGTTGATACAAGGGGTGCTCTTATAGTTTATTTCAAAATCATAATTTTTTTAAAGTTAATGTTGGTTTCACAAGGAGAAAACAATGTTGCTCAATGAAGAAAAATAACAGTTTGCGACAATCTCAACATGTAACAAACAATTTATCGGACTACTTTGTCTGTCAAAGTGTATTGGCGAAACAAAACAACGCATGTCGTGTCGCATAATATTTTGCCAGGCAGCATTTCAATAGGGGTTTCGTCAATGAGATTCGATAAATGTTACACGTCAGTTGTCACGTGACGTTGATGAAATATCGCAACACTGGACGAAATACACGTACCCATCTCTCAAAAGATAGGCCATTATAACGGAATAAAAAGGGAATTTCTCAACCCACTCCAAAAGCTCTTCAACTTCAAACTGTGAAAAGATTTCTGTGCAGTTTTTCAAAGTCTGTGAGGAATGTGAAAATTTTGAGCTTAATGTCCACCCAATCACGCACAGTCGCAGATCGTGAACATATCCCCAAGTCTGGAATGTTTAATGTTTTGACGTAAGACTACGTCTGTGATTTCTATATGGGGGTACACTTTGTGAAAACTGAAAATGGAACATGTAACAAAATTATGAAAGATTTTGAACGTTAATAACTCAGCTGCCCCTGGACCAATTTTATTATTTTTATCTCCAATGAATCAGAAATATTTCTACGCATCTGCTTAATTAAAAACTTTATCATTTTTCAAAATGTTACTATTGAAAATTGCACGAATGTGCAACTGCTGCTATGATAATTAAAATTATCACCGATTGCCTGCGAAACGCGATTTCCCTAACACAGATTTCAAAGTTGAATTCCATCCGGTCTCACCAAATGGTGTTTATTCAATCACCGCGTGGTGAGTGGTGATGTTCTCCAGTACACAACGAAAGGCTGCCTGCAAGCAGCAAGCTGCAGCCCACATGAGCATCCATAGAAGGAGGAAGAAGCCACACCGCTATTGATCGGAATCAGTAGCTCTTCGTGAGTCGCTGTGGGCCATCTATGTCAAGCGCGTCAAACTAAAGAGTATAAACAGAGAGAACTCCACTCAAATTCCTATTCCTACACAAAACACAAGCTCCTGCTGCAGTTAACAAATAAGATTTATTATATAAGCCACGTAATCCTACGTCACCATTGCGTACAACCCCATAGGGCTGTCCCTTGTAGTTTTCTTAGTACGGGACAACATTTTGAAATATTTGCCTTGGATCTTTAAATTTGTTCTAAATCTGAGACTTTCAAACAGTTTCAGGAAACCTGATTTTTTTTTTAATTCTTGTGATTTTGGCATTTTGTCATCGAAACTGATCCAAATGCTTTCTTCTATTCATTCTATATTTATATCACAATCCCAAATGTATTCTACTACCAGTGTTTGCGAACCAATATCGGAGCTGTAGGCGCGTCTCAATAGCTTGGTAGTTTCTCAAGATTTTCCGGAAGATCAGCTTGTGGAATTCACGGCAATGCCTCAATTTAGGGTACATCAGAAAACCCCAGTAACTGTGAGAACTGAAAATAATCCACGATTATCTCTGAGAATTGAAGATTAAATCCGAAATTTGTGTGTAACTAGAATTTTTAGGAAGTTCCAAAACATCGTATGTACGACAATTCCTGGAAACTTCCAGAACCTAAGGAATCTTTGAAGCTAACAAAACTTAAGATCTCAGATCTGGATACTGCTGGAACACTCATCTCATCATTATACAAAATATGCATTCTGGAAAACTTGCTTGTACGCACTGCAGTCCATTGCAAGAACTGTCATTACATTTGTTGTATGAAACATATGCAGAGGATGTAATAAATCCAACCATACATTGAATGTAAGAGAAATCAGTTTTGCGTGTATGGAGGTGGATTAATCTTCCATTCACCTTTCACTATTAATTGGACTTAAAATCCTGTGAATTTTTGCTACAAGAAAATTAACTGAGTAAATTAGATGAGATCTATTGATAGTTATAATAATCTAAAAATAAAAATCTACGAAAATACCTTTAAAAAAATATTAATTTTTCAGAATATCGAACAACACAATTTTAATACCGTGGACCCTCGGTAATCTGACCGTTCTTAATCTGAACGCTTTTTAATTTGAACCCCGCTAATCTGCACGATTGCTCAAACGTCATCTAGCACATAGAATACAGTAAAGCTAAACGAAACGCAGAATCAAAACAAAATAGCAAATAAGGCTACCAGAAACTCGCTTTTCCAATGGTCGTAGGGTTACTAGAAGTTTAAATTAAAAATGAGGGGGTTAGAAGAAAAGGGGTGTAAGTGACTTTGATCGATTCTCTTCATCGACTTTCTCTTTTGATAGCCACAGCTTTATAAACAGATTTTGCGCTATTTATGCCACATAGTTTGATAAAGGAGGTTCTCATCTAGCATCCAGAATGGCACACGAATCAAGGAATGTGTTTGCAGCTGAATTATTAACGACCCCTTTGCTTCTAACCCCCTCAAATCAACCTCGTTAATATACATGATGGGTCGTTCAGATTCACAGGGGTCCATGGTAGTTGGTATAACCACTTGAATAAAAGTGTAAAATCTACGCCAGCCGTAACAATCCTGTGCTGTCCTGATTCAGTGCAGTAGAAAATTAGCCTCATTCAATGCCCTCCAAGCCCGAACACCACAGCAGAACTATAGCATCGTTTTATCTTCCTTCAACAGAACTTGCGAACAAGCCCGAGATCACCATCATCCCACAGCCTCCGAAGCCGACAGCCGTTGCACAACCGGTCGAACCCGTTCCGATGGAAGCGGACGATGCCACCGAAGACGATGACGAGGAAGACGACAGCGATAGTGACCTGGAATTCATCCTACCGAAGATGGAAGCCTCCGACGATTGTACTATCGTAGAAACCAACCCACCGCAGGAGCCACAGTCCAAGGACCAAGCTCAGCAACAACAATCGCAACCAAATAGCAAACGACAGGAACAACAGCAATTGTTCATACATCAGCTGCAGCAACAGCATCTTCAAAATCTACAATTGCAGCATCGTTCCTTGACGAAGATGCAAATGATTCACGGTCCGAAGGGAGAAAATGGCGACAGCAATGGAGGCGGACCGGCGATCGGTAGCGATCCCGAAGATCAAGACATCGGCTCACCGGAAACGCCGTTGTCTCAGGGCAGAACTCCTTCGCAGGATTCCTTCGACGAACCAAACGGTAACAATAGCCATCTTACTCCGTCCGGCCGACAACCGGCGAGACGCCGCCCACGGAGAAAGAATCTCGCTTCGGACGATCAAGCCGAAGCGCTGACCGAAATGTCCGTACGCGGGCTGAATCTGTTTCGCTACGCCAGCATCAGCGACGGAGTCTACCAGTGTATGGAGTGTGCCAAGGAAAACGTGCAAAAGACATTCAAAAACAAATACAGCTTCCAGCGTCATGCCTTCCTGTATCACGAGGGCGCCCAACGGAAGGTATTTCCCTGTCCAGTGTGCAACAAGGAGTTCTCCCGTCCGGACAAGATGAAGAACCACCTCAAGACAACCCATGAATCCTACATGCCCAAATCGGATCCAGTGTACCCGATGAGCTTCATCGTCGGCGCCAACGAGGCGAATCAAATCCCACCGAATCACGCTACGGCCAAAATCGAGTCCGTACTGAGCGCCATCCAGATGCAGCAGCACCTGAACCTGCAGAAGGAACTCCAAAGTCAACACGCTAAGTTCCAGCTGCAGCAACAACTGATCTCACCAAAACTAATGGATAACGGCGGCGCCCCGGCGATCGTTGTTGCCGCCACCAACAACGGTTTGCAGTAATGAACAAGATTTCCATTGCATTTTGTTTCTATCTACTATTTTTTTATAATAGGTTTAAGACGCACTGATATTTACTAAGACTGCAACTAGTCTTCCACGTACGATGATGCTCACTCGGAGCGGTGAGTTTGCGCCAATTATCACTTTGATACAAGCATTTAATCACGAATACAAGCCGTTCGAATTCGCCAGATGCGAACGGTTGCCATTTTGTTTTTGTTCCAATAGCGGTGCTAGCGCAAAACAAGACCACTATTGATCACCACGTGTGCCTTATTATTATCAAACTACTGGACTCGCTTTCACGCACAAGCAACAATAACCATATATTTCAAGAGCAACATAAGACTGTCGATAGGAGTTTTTGTAGAGTTAAAATAACCTGTAAAAGTAATGCCAACCGAAGAATACGAGTGCACAAACAGTGTCTGTTGTGTGAATTAGGTATATCGCTTTTCTCTCTCTCTCACACACACGCACACATTCTCTCGCCTATATTAACGATGGACCTAGCTGATTGTTACGCATCTTATTTGTATGATTTCGTAACGTATTCCCAAATTAAAGACTTTTTTGCGTGAGCTCCAAAATATTCCCCACCAAACTCGTTAGTAATAGAAATTTCGATTAATCTAAGAATCGCTGCAATGCTTCAGTTTTGATAAACTTATTAGGAACGAGAACAAATCCGAAAACATGCGGTGCATACAAACGGCAAAGGTCTAAACAAGAGAGGTTACATTTCCCGATCTCGTCATTTCCTAAGAATAAGTTTTAAAGAGAGACAAACTGAACAGATCTATTTTCCGATAAACATGATTTCCTTATCTCACAGTCTATTTTCAAGTTTTAATTTTAATTTGTGATATAACTTTTCTCAATTCTTGTAAACCGAAATCCTTTGGTTAATTTTGCATTTTAACACCTTATCAATAACAATTAGGTAACCCTCTTTTGCGATATTCTACTAGTAGTGTATGTAAAAAGAAAAGTAAAATAACCGATCTCTTTAAGAAAGGGAGAAAGCCTTGAAATATGAACTGAACTGAACTGCAGGTGTCGTGGAACAAAAGCCAGCACGAACATGCTAGCATTACATTTATTCTAATGCTTCTATAAACAAACAACTAATGTAATATTCTAGTATAATAAACAGTGACAACAACTTCTCATAGAATATATATGTAGATAACCGCGACACGCGATGTGGGAACAAAGCCACATCGGTGAATTGCATTTCAGGTATAAGCCTAGATTGTAACCAGTCGATGAAACACGTACTAGTTTTTAGAGTGAACAGCAACGCTAATTTACATTTAAGGAGTACTACAGTACAGACTTGAGATATCATCTGCGAGCGAACAAACACGAACGCACACAAATTGTGAAAACTGTTAGTTCAAAAGGCCATGTAACATAGTGCACAAAGATTATTTCGTTTGCGTAAAAAAAATACTGTTTGGGATTTGTTTGACGTGCATCCAGTGATCGAATAATAAACTATTGAATTGATTAATCTAAGAAACAAAGAAGACAACTACCTTGAACTGAGTGATTACATGATTTTGTCACGCACATAATAACCTACTTATTGGCAAGCGACACGTACGTTTTGACTAAATACACCTTGAATCAATTTTCTTGTGACCGAAATATATTCTAATGAAAAATTGATGGATATTATTTTTTTTTCTGACATCCGAAAATGGAATCCAAACAAGAATGGGGAATTCTCTGGAAGGACAGATAACTTGACACTGATTGACGACTTTTCCACGAATGAAACTTTTCCCTGAATTGAACGAATTTTCCCTTTTTCCGAAAAATAACATTACAATTTCGATAATTTATATCAGCACATATGTTATTTTCAAGATAGTACTGCAGTTTGTTAAATTATTGAGTATTAAATTTAACTTCTTTCGAAGAATTAACGATATGAACGATATGGGCCAGGAATTAAATCTAGCAGGAAAAAAACGCAAACTGTTAGTAGATGCAGAAGAATGTAGCACGGGCGAAAATGCTGCACTGCAACACTGCACGAGATTAAATGTGGAGCGATACAGACAAGCGCGGAACAGACAAAACTCAGTTTTCCGAAGAAAAAAGCGTCAGCAGGAAGACCGAGATGGAAAATCTGTACCGCGTAAACGACACACGGAAGTTCTACGAGAAGCTAAATACCGTATGCGTGATAATGTTTGCACCATTGAGCAATGTCAAAATTAAAAAAATTCTCAAAGATTTCGTTTTCGAGTTTTTTTTTTATTCAAAGGGGGGATGTTTCTCAGAGTCTTAAACTATGTTAATCATAGATCGAGTTTCCACTTGCTGCAATTACGGCCTGCACACGCTTCCGGAATGCACGGCAGGTTCTAATAATGCAGGATCCATTTCTCTCCATGTACGGGTCAATGTTTGTCTGAGGTTTGCTGTACTCGGGTGGCGTTTAGAACAGGCCTTGGCCTTCATGACGCGCCATATTGAGTAATCCAGCGGATTCAGATCGGGGCTGGATGGCAGCCACATGGACGGAAGATGTTCCTACAACCACTTCTAAGTGCGGTTCGAGGTGTGGCACTGAGCCCCATCTTGTTGAAATACAACATTTGGCTTTGGACCGTACAGTTCTTTAATCCACAGAAGAACATACTTACTTAAAATCCCGATGTAGACCTCCGTGTTGACCTTGTCGCCTTCTGGAATGAACACCGGGTTCATTTTTTTGCCATCGGAAGCCACCAATCCAAACACCATAACGCTAGCACAATGCTTGGTCAGATACACGTTCTTGTGCTCGTCGACGACGTCTTTTACCGGAAGAGAACTAATATACCGGTCGGTTCTGGAATTTGATAAGGGATCGACGGTAAACATGCTCTCGTCGGTGAACAGGATTACCGGATTTTTTCACTTGGAAGTTCAAGATTTTCTTGCATCGTTCGACTCGTAGCTCCCGGATGTGGTTGGTAATCATGTGAGTTTTTTTCCGTTCCCTCGACTTCGCCCCGCAATCTTCCTTTGCGATCTTCCATGCCGTAAAGTCACTGATCCCGTGTTCCTTTGCCATTTTCCTTATTGAACGCACTGGATTCACCCGAATCTTCCTTTTGATAGCAGCGATAACCCTCGGAACCCTTCGCGGATAGTTGTCCTTTCTTTTCCCGGTCTAAAACCCTTTTGACGGTCCACCGGGACACTCCCACGGCGATTGAAATGTCTTTTTGCGACATTTGCGCGTGGGACAAATAACGAATACGCTGCCACTTCGTCATGGTGTAACTGTCAAACTAAGTAAATCATTTTCTTTTATACACAGCCTACTACGGTATGAGCTATAGGTTACGTGCATGCAAAGAAAACCAAGGCATTGTATGCACAGGTGAAACGGGAACCTTATTTGTACGATGGTGCAAACATTATCACGCATACGGTAGTTCAATAGTGCAAGGACTTGGACGGTAACCTTCTCACAAACGAGTGTGAGGTGATTGAGAGGTGGAAGCAGTACTATGACGAAATGACCTCCACGGTGAAGCAGCAGAAAACGAAGGTGGCACGGCAACAGACCTAGGATCGGTCGGCTGAAGAACGACAAATCAACTGGTGTAGATCATCTACCAAGTGAGCTATTAAAATACGGTGGTGAAGCACTGGCTAGAGCGCTGCACTGGGTAATTGCCAAGATTTAGGAGGAGGAGATATTACCGGAGGAGTGGATGGAAGGTGTCGTATGCCCAATCTACAAAAAGGGCGACCAGTTGGATTGCTGCAACTACCGCGCGATCACACTGCTGAGCGCCGCCTACAAGGTACTCTCCCAAATTCTATGCCGCCGTCTGTCACCATATGCAAGAGAGTTCGTGGGGCAATACCAGGCGGGATTCATGGGTGTCCGCGCTACCACGGACCAAATTTTCGTGATTCGGCAGGTTCTGCAGAAATGCCGCGAATACAACGTGCCCACACATCATTTGTTCATCGATTTCAAATCCGCATACGACACAATCGATCGAGATCAGCTATGGCAGATTATGCACGAGTACGGTTTTCCGGATAAACTGACGCGATTGGTCGAGGCGACCACGGATCGAGTGATGTGCGTTGTTCGAGTATCGGGAACACTCTCGAGTCCCTTTGAATCTCGAAGGGGGTTACGGCAAGGTGATGGCCTTTCGTGTCTGTTATTCAACATCGTGTTAGAAGGTGTGATCAGAAGAGCAGAGATAGACACGAGTGGCACGATCTTCAGGAAGTTCATCCAGCTTCTTGGCTTCGCCGATGACATTGACATCATGGCACGGAACTTTGAGACGATGGCGGAAACGTACATCAGACTGAAGGCTGAAGCTAGGTGGATTGGACTTGCCATCATCGCATCAAAGACAAAATACATGAAAGGAAGAGGTAATATAGGCTGTCTTGCAATGAGTACTCATACATTGTAACAGGTACACCAAGTGTACGTTAACGTTGTAAATATTTAATTAGCCATACATAAATTAGGATGAAATAGATCTAATCATTACGCCAAAATCAGTAACGTCACTCGACCTTGCGTAGTTTCTCCCAAGGCCGAGTCCAGGGAAACCTTCGGGAAATTTGAGGAAAGAGAGAGTGTGGCTACACCCGACTTTGAACGAAGGGCCAACGATCAGAATAATCTCTCGCATTACCGATCTCGTTCGAAGAAGTTCGCGGGAAAATCGAACTTCCGTTAAGTTCGGCCGAGGTCACCTTCCCTAATCTGAGGGTCACGGTTTCACTTCAGTTTCGTCCGAACCGCAGATTACAGTGGAAGTGTTTAGTTTTGTTCGCGTGATAGTTTCGTAAACAAAACTAAAGTGAGTTATTTAAAGCAAAGTGGTTTTACTTTTATACTTAAATTCTAATGTATAGTTATAGTTATAAATCTAAACGTAGTGTGCGCCATAGGCTAGACTTTGTGTGTGCGAAAAACAAGCTAGTGTGCTCGTTAAAGAAAATCTGTACATTGTGCTTAATGTTCTTTTCAATAGCTACACACTTAGAAAAGTTCATGTAAATTTAGGTTCTCTGAGAGTGACATATACGAGCGTCAATTTTGACATAAATTTGAGTCATAACAGACGCGAAATTCAACTCAATCAAACGTACTTTTCGTCGAGCAACGCACTTTTCAGTCTCGGAGCACTTAATATTACATGACATGTTTGTTTACGTCTCATCTTTTATGTCAAAGACGGATTCCGTCACGTGTAAAATTAGTTATTTCTAAGTGTGTACGTTTAACTTCCAACGCCATCATCTGCATCCCCGGGGCGAATCATCCCGGCAACCGTCACCTTGTCCGGTGGAAAGCGATCCGCATCTACATCGCTGAGCGGTTGACAACTGCCACTGCTGTTGAGGTCACGTTCGTCCACCCACGTGGAAATCGTTGGCCCTTCGACACAAACGGTCGAACGCGCATCGATTGAGGAGCATCATCGCCGCGCCAGTGAGTCCGTTATGTTTTTTCGTTGAGTGTGCCGTCTGGCGAGGGCGCCACGGAGGACCTTTTTTGCCAACCATAAGGTCAAAGAGCATGAATTGCTAAGATTTTGTAACGGGTCGGGTGTTTTGGGAAGATGAACTAATTACTACCTTCACTTAAGCGCCAGGTAGACGAATCTACCGTGAAGAAGCAATGGGCTCAAATTGACCCGTCCCGGCTTGGAGACATCAGGGCGAGTTCAATCAAACTCTTAATGGCGGCAAAGGCTTGCCTACAGGGGAAACTTATCGATACGCGGAAAAAATGTGTATCCAATTAGATCCTTAAAAAAACAGAACTACTTTTTCATTCTCCTCAACTAGATGCTAGGGTCTATGGCGTCCGATAATACCATAGAGGTAAGTCTAAGACCACTGGGTCCCGAAGAAAATCATTATTATTTTTGGCTCACTCAGTACCAGAACAACGGTCCCAAGCAGTCCCAAGCTATTTCACTCACCCCTGCATGTTCTGCATGAATCCACACACCCCTGATGTTATCTGTCAAACTTTCATAGCGAATCAAAACAAACATAGTGTAGTAATAGAATTTCAACTAGAATAGGGTACGTTAATCGTTTGCTTGGGACCAATAGGCTAGTCAAGTAGTGAGCCAATTTAAAATCGTTAGTTTCGTATTGATTGTTGATAATACGGCCGACGCTCGGTCGAGTCGGTCTGGTAAACGGGATCGCCCTTGTTTGAAGGGTTTAAATCTTCAAACAAATTGTGTTTTATTGTAATGCCTCACAGTTTGCTATGGTTAATTGCAGGGATGTATGTTCAATTACCTGTACGAAAACCTTATCACCCACGTGTATTCAACGTAAATCTCGAATGCACTTTTTTTTCGGGTGATTTACAAAACTCGTTAACTTTTTCTACCACCGTTTCCTACTAAGCTCTGCTCTAACCCGATCTAGCCCTTCACGCAGTTTGAACCAATAAATGTCCAATTGGGGAGTCTCTCTCATCTCGACTCGTGAACGAACCCGAAGTCTACCTTGTTGAAGTTCGGTTCCCATTATCGCACACATTCGGACGAGTCTATCCGATGGCATAAACTCTACTTATCAATCGTCATACGAATTCCTCGTTTGACGTTCTTTGTCGGTTTGAA